CCCTGTAGTACTTTAGTGAAGAGAACTACAGATATAATGACAGACAGATATAATGATAGATAGACAAGAATATAATAATAGACAGATATAATGATAGACAGATATAATGACAGACAGATATAATGATAGATAGACAGACAGATATAATGATAGATAGACAAGAATATAATAATAGACAGATATAGTGATAGACAGACAGAAAGATATAATAGACAGATAAATATAATGATAGAGGCAAATAGATAAATAAATATATACAGACAGACATGATGATAGACAGACAGATATAATAATATACACAGATAGATGATAGACAGAAAGATAGAAATACACAGATATAATGATAGAGAGGCAAATAGATAAATACAGACAGACAGACAGATATAATGACAGACAGACAGAGAAATAGAGACAGACAGACAATGATAGACAGACATATATATATGATAGAGAGACAGACAGATAAACATACAGATAGATAAAAAAGACACAGACAGACAGACATAATGATAGAGACAGACAGATAGATATGATAGAGAGACAGACAGGCAGACAGACATAATGATAGAGACAGACAGACATAATGATAGACAGACAGATAGATATGATAGAGAGACAGACAGATAGATATAATGATAGACAGATAGATATGATAGAGAGACAGACAGATATATATAATGATATACAAGAAGACAGACTGACAGATGGATAAAACAAAAGACACACAGACAGTAAGATAGACAGTGGGATACACACAGTAAATAGACGGATAGACAGTCACACTGTTCTTTCACAGTTTCCTCATTTGATTAGCATCATCTTCACGCCCCACTAGCGTCCAGGGTCACCCGACCTGTTGGAGACACCAGAGAGACACACACACACACACACACACACACACACACACACACACACACACACACACACACACTCTCTCCTCTGGTCCCCTGCTAAACAAACGTGTTGAAAAACTAAATGATCCCCATTGTGGAGCTGAATACAGTAGCAGGTGTTGGTTCCTCCCGCCCACCTCCACACACACACACACACACACACACACACCACGTGCAGATGCGCCATCAAAGGCCAGCTCGTGAAACCGAGATAACAGTTTACTGAGTTTGAAGACTGACTGTAGGAGCGTTTCCTCACAGCTCTGAACAATGCGCTCGCTGAGGAACTGTTTTTAGGTCACATATGGACAGGCACACGGTTGCGCATTGACAAGAAAACCCGATAATGCCATAGCAGAGATGGAGGGAGAGAGAAAGGGGGGTGGAGGACGGGAAAAAAGGCAGTGATTGAATAACAGTAATTAAAGCGGTTATTCGTTCGGCGAGCACCTGCGTGAAGGATGATATTACTCCTTAATTCAGCTCAGTTTAACTTCCCTCAGCCGCTGCTTTTCAACTACACCTCATTAATCGCTGATTGGCATCGAGCCGTTTGCGGGAACAAAATGTTTATCCTCAAACCTCTTTCTCAAGGGCTAGTTTCATGTTTTTCTTTACCTTGCACATTATTCAAAGGCTGGATATTTTCCCCCTATGTTTTTTACTGTTACAGACGGGGGGAAACTATTAAAGATTCCCATGTTTCAATGAAACAGAGAGAGCGAAATCTGTAGTGTTTCAGCATAAAACCAGTCAGTGTTTGACTTTTAATATGGAACCAAAGCTGTAAGACACACACAAAGATGGTTAGTTTGTGAGAATAACCACATCCACAATTCACAGCGACACAAAATGCAATTGAAAACAAATAATGGCGTCTTCTAAACATATGGAAGCCCAACAAGGCCAAGTGCTATTTTTCTGCATTTCTTGAGATCAATACTTTTGTTCTCATGATTTTAACATGGTAATCTTGACAAAACAAGACAGAAAAATAACTATTGCATGGCCTTTAAAAAAAGAGCATAATATTAAATAATTAAATATTATAATATACTGGCAAAATAAGACAGAAAATAAATAAAACTTTACTAAATGCATGGCTTTTTTTTTTAAACAAAGTTAAAAACTTAACTTTTAACTTTATTAGTATGGATATAATATGTATTTAATAAATCCTCTAAGTGTAGGAATTTGTAAAGTATGGAAGCTTGTTTCCGCCATGGAATAAAAAAAAGTTAATTGTGACTTTTTTCAGAATTGCATGATATGAAGTTATAATTGCGTGTTAAAAATTCCAATTCTGATGAAAAATAGACTGACTTTATATCACATAATTGTGAGAAAAAAAGAATTGTGAGATGTAAATGTGCAATTGTGAGGGAAAAAAAGTCAGAATTGCCAGATAAAAAAGTTCCATAGTGAAGTTCGATCATAACTGGTAAAAAAAGAAAAGAAAAAAAAGCTGTATATTTATCGGGATCTATTTCAGTAAATGTTCAATGGAATTTACTGAATGCTTCTACATTATTCCTCGTTGAGTGTTAATTTACAGATAAAACAATTAAAAAAAGGGGAATCTGATGGCAAAAGTTCAAATGGGCAAAGTGACAAATAAGTCCAAGTCCGTTAGTTCCTCCCTTTCACTGCTGTACATTAGTGCAAGCGAGAGAGAAATCGAGCAGCTTTATGTTCAATATTTACTCGTCACCAGCAAGTGCTAATGCAAAAACCCTTGAATAAGACATTGAAATGCTTTCAGATGAGACCGATTTCTTCTTTTAAAAAAACTGACACTTCTTATTCGGAAGAGAAAACCTTCTGTTTATTGGATTTTCAGCCATTTCATTGAGCTCCATCCTCTTTTTAAGGTGAAAATGAAAAATGGTATTGAGCAGCGCGGGTTTGTGCATCATATTGTGCTTGATGCAATGTAGGTCAGTGTTCTGCAGCGCCGCAGATAAGACACGGGGAACAAGTGTTGTGTGTACTTACAAGCAAATATCTGTCAAAATAGCAATTGACAGATCTACAAGAGCGCTTTTGGCTTGGGACGTGCTTCTCCGTCATTAGCATTTTCAAAAAAAACAAAAAAAAAGGCCAGAGATTTGGGCCTATCAGCCTTGACTCGCTGCAGAGCTGGGCTGGCCCAGGTTGTTATCTGTTCAGTACAGAGGTGCAGATGTTTAGCGAATGGATTTGCTGATTTTTAAAGGGAGATGAGGGGGGGGAAAAAGAGAGAGAAAGAGAGAGAGAGAAGAATCAGGTACTAACAACAAGCCTCTCCAAAACAAGCCTTCAGAATTTCACAAACCGCACCTTGTGTGTGTGAGTGAAGCCCGCATTTTTTTTGGAAAAGACACAAAAAAAGCATGAAAAATGTTTATTCACTCTCCAGTGTCCCGAGGGCCACTTCAGCGCCGCCCTGGTGGACGAGAGGAAGGGGAACAAATGTGGCGCTTTAGGTGGTGTAGGGATGCGGCTGGCAAGTGAGACACCTTTGTCTGAAGCAATCCCAGCGTAACACACACACACACACACACACACACACACACACACACACACGTGGAGGAATTCTGGCCCTAGCGGGGCCAAGGGGAGGGACATTCGCCCCTGGCCAGAGAGACAGAGGGTGCCTGCCTTTACTGAAGCATAATCACGCGCATCAGTGTTTCCCGCACCGGGAGCGCCGTTACACTGACAATAAATATCCAACACAATTTTATATTGCGTCTGCAGTCACTTAAGTGCTGAATCGATCAGACGACTCTGAATCGGGCTGAATGAATCACTCGCATACGCTACCATTCAAAAGTTTGGGGTCGGCAACATTTTTAAATGTTTTTGAAAGTCACCAAGTCTGCATTTAATTTGATCAAAAAGTACAGTAAAAATAGTGAAATATTATTACAATTTAAAATATCAGTTGTCTATGTGAATATATGGTAAAGTGTAATTTATTCCTGTGATCAAAGCTGAATATTCAGCATCATTACTCCAGTCTTCAGTGTCACATGATCCTTCAGAAATCACTCTAATATGATGTTTTGATGCTACAAAAAGCATTTATGATTATTGTGCTGCTTCATATTTTTGTGGAAACCCGTGATACATTGTTTTTTCAGGATTATTTGGTGAATAGAAAGTTAAAAAGAACAGCATTTGCTTTAAATAAAACATTATAAATGTCTTTACTGTCACTTTTGATTCATTTAATGCATCCTTGCTGAACAAAACTCAAACTTTTAAAACTAAAGTAAATAAATATTTTTCTATATATATAAAACAATATATATTATATTATGCATTTGGCAGATACTTTATCCAAAGCAACGTTCAAGCTATACATTTTTTAAATTCATGCATTCTCTGGGAATCCAAACCCAATCAAGCACAGGAAGAATATATATAATAATAATAATAATATATATATATATATATATATATATATATATATATATACACACACAAAATAATAAAGCTAAACTATAATATAATATAATATAATATAATATAATATAATATAATATAATATAAGGAAACACTGGTACACATGGAGAAACCGTATCCGTCGGGGCTTCATTTCACACTGCAGCAGAAGCACAAAGTGATCGTCATAAAATGATAAAACTCGTTCAAAATAGAGCTCAGTGAAGGTGCTTTTAAAAATCAAACGTGTTATTGATTGAACGAATCACGGTAAAGATGCTCTCATGACTAATCAAAATATATTTCATTAAAAAAATAGAGATGCAGGTGCTTTTGAAAATGTATTCATTTCATGCCATTTCCCCCCCATAATTCTTTTCCATTACTGCTCTTCATTTCGCCTGTCTATTGAGTGGGTGTCCAAACTAACAATTAAACTATTGTTAAGAGAACAGAAAGCTGGAGGAGTTGCCATTTCAGGAGATAATAATCAAATATCACTTCACTGTAATCACTGTTAAACTACTTAACCCTCGATTGCAACGCACACTCACGCAAAACTAAGACCAATGACAAAAGTGCTCACAAAGAATTGGAAACTTCTTAATCTATTAAAAGTTGAAGCATCACCTGCCGACTGTCGCAATACTCCAGCTTTACATGTGCCTTTTCCTCTAACGGCTCGGGTGGGGAATGTTTTCTTGGCCTGCGTCGAGGTCTGACAGATGCCGCCCATCCAAAAGACTCTCGACTCTGCCAAAAATATCAGGCAGGAATTTAGGGAAGGCAATCTATTATTTAAAACAACAAGCGACAGTTCATATGCTTCTGCAACTGTGGAGCGCGTCGCAGAGAAGCCCGGAGCATCAGACTTTCCTCAAACTCGCCTCGCTGCATTTAGCTCCTCGTAAGCCCCCTTCAACCGCATAATGACTTCTGCACTGAGACAATATAAAATAAACACCTTCAAGCCGGTCTATTAGACAACACTTAAAATCTTTTTTTTTTTTTTTTTGGTTTGCGGGGGGAAGGGGTGGCGTCTTAATTACTTCCTTGTTGGAGTGAGCTTGAACGTTAACGAGGGATGCTCCTTTCTCTCGACGCGAGCGTGTGTAGTTTATTCGTATAATCAGCTAGCTGTCGGAGACTGGATTAGCCCCTCCACGGCGAGTGAAGTGTTTAACATGGCACGCACGATGGGCTCAAACAAGCTCTCTGCCTGCCTTCTCTCCACAAACACTCATTGTCATTAATTTGATTTGCTCATCGCCCCCCCTTTTAAAAGCTCTCCGTTTCGCATTCGACAGCCTTTCCTTTCAAAACACCAGTGCAAATGATTGCACCTGCTGCTAAGAATTACCAGGTAAAGATAAAGAGTTAAATTAAGATGAAGAATTGTAAAATGTTTCCAGTTGGAAGAGTGTTGATTACTAGTGCTCCGGTCCTGCAGGATTACCTGCGATTTATCCTCATATTTTGGGATGCCTCGCCCTCCGCGTTACGTTCTCTTTTCTCCGGGGGCCGCCGAAAGCAGCTTGCATCCACCTCTGCCAAAAGAGTTTATTAGAGCAAATGGTATTGTAAGCCCTATGGAAGGCATACCTTATGTGAAGATTTAAAAGATATTAAGAAGATTGTGAGGCCCAGAACCCAGGTGTGTTGGGTAATAGTCATTGTCTTGTACATGTGTGCGAGAATGAGACGGGGCAAGGTGCCAGCGAGAGAGGGTAGAGAACACCCCAGGCGACTCGGTAATTTACACCCGAGTGAAGAGATTCCTAGACGCTGCTGAGTCTTTACTAGCTCTGCTTCATATTACCAGGATAATAGAGTAATATGGGCGAGATAAACGCACGTGGGATCAACCATGAGTTCAGCACCCCATCTGGTTGAGCAATGCGTTTAGACTATAATAGCAATTGAGAGTCCCTGATTGGACTAGCAGCCCAGTGAGGACTGTATGTGTATGTGTATATAACATAATAAAATCTTGCATTGTCCTGTTATTTGTCTTCAAATTAGTGACGTTGTTGCCCAGGAATTGGCTATTTTTTTTTTTTTTTAAATGCATGGAAATGTGAAGACTTGGCCAACATGTTTAATGTGTATGTGCTTTACGCTGTCCCGGTAATTCACCTCAGGTCTCAAGGGGGCGATAGAGTTCCCCAGTCATTATGCTGCCATCTTCGCTTCATGGGTGCTCGGTTCTGGAAATATTTTTTCAAGATAATCACCTGAGCAATAAATGCCATGCGGTCAACCTGTATTAGGAGGAAAAAAAGGTCACTGGTAAAACATACAGTACACTATAATAAAATTAAATTTTACTGTATGCACGCATGCTAGATATCGTAGTCCACACACAGCTACTTATGAATGAGCATCAAAGGCAGAAACTTACCCAAATAATGGTGTAGTAATGACAATTACCAGCAGGGACAAATGCTCATTTAAACCACCAATCAAACCTTCACCTGCTGGTTAAACAAGCAGACATGCTCAGCGATGCTGCGTCTCAATTCGCTTACTTATACTACGCCCTAAAAGTATGTACATACTTTTGAGTGTGTAGCAGAAGAGTATACAAGCTTTGGGACAAACTATCACGTCATACAAGTCTTTAAAGGGGTCATATAATGCCATTTTTGTACAAGTTAATATGATTCTTTAGGGTCTAAATTAAAAGTTTGTAATATACTTTAATTAAAAATTCTCATTAGTATTGTAAGAAAACAGTTATTTTACCTGGTCAAAAACAGCTCTGTTTTCAGCACGCCGTTTCAGTGCATATGACTTTAAATGATAATGAGCTTTGCTGGCTCCGCCTCTCTGTTCTGCGCATACACCGTTTGTAACACAATAACACAATAACCATAACACGTTGTTCAGTATAAACGTGGGATTATGAATTATATTGAGAACGTCATACATAGAAAACATGCCGTAATGTACCCTGAGTGTAAACCTTAGACGCATTCATTGTGAAGCGTGCAGCTAGCGATTTGCAAAGATTAATATATTAATATAAAGGTTAATAAAACGTTACACTCACTTCCGTTCTTCTGGAGATTCAGCAGGAACACGAATATCTGGTACCGATCCTTTTTTCATGAGCAGCTTCTTAGCAAATCCAGCTTTATACTGACCCTCGTTTATAAAGCAGTCTGGTGAGAAATGATTCGCGCAAACATGAAAGCATTGACGTTGCTCGTGGGGAATATTCCCTTCGAAAACAAACTCAGCCACTGCGTCTTTAGCGGTTCAGATTTAGGAACATTAAAATGACTGCTGTGTTCGTTATTACACCCAAGAACAGAACACCACAATCGCTTAGACACCATTCTGCTCATAGACAGTGCTCCAGCATATCAACAATGACCGCGCCGGTCTGCGCAGACTATGATTGACAGCTCCCTCATGAGCGAGGGCGGGTCTGTGTTGAAACGATCCTGTCAATCAAAACGTGGGAGGGGCGTGCGAGCTTGTGACGTCACAGGCTCGAACGGCTCGATTTGAGGCAGGGGAAAACATATAAGGAGATTAAAACAAAAACACTGGATGGATTTTTATCATTATATGATGGTTGTGTACAGGCACTGCCAACACACATTTCAGTACAATCAACTTGTAAAAGTGCATGTACCATTATATGACCCCTTTAACGGTTGCTCTCTGTCGCACCCTGTCATAGTAAACTGACCTCTCAATCATCTTGTCAAAGATAAAATCCTCCACAATTAATTTCCAACCGAATCGGAGAGACATGCAGAATTGATCTGGAGTCACGAGGCTTTCATGCGGAGACTCTCCTCGTATTAATGCATAATGATGCATTTAAAAGTTCAAAAGGTAAAATGGATCTTTATAAAAGTCCATTGTTATTGCAGATGAAATATAACACGGATAACATTAAATAAATATTTTTCTATGATTAGTCACCCAAACCCTTTATCTAAACCTCTCACCGCCGGTCGCGCATATCCGCCATGTTTTGTAGTTTTTAACACTTTTTACTCGTGTTTGTAGTTCCTCCTCCAAAGCGCAGTGGATTGTGGGTAATATTAGCTGTTATTGTGAGCATGCATCCACACTTCGAAAACCCACCGGAAATAGTAGACCATCCAGGGACTTTTAACATACTCTTTTTAACATACTATGCTTTGGGACACACTTATTTTAATCTCACTTACTATTTAGGATGGATAGTATGGACATTGGGATGCAGGGCAAGAGTAGTGTTTGACCTGAAAGTGAAAACCGGAGAATGCAACACGTACCTGTGTCTGACCAGCGTACCTGCGTTTCAGGCCTTTGCCATAATGAGAAGCGCCTGCAATTATACAACCTGCAAATGAATCTTCACTCCTGCAAAAGAACACAGACGCAACTTTTGATGCTTAACAACAACCTTGCAGTGAATATATCGTTGGCATTCAGCATGGATCAATGACGGGGGGCTTTTTGTGTCTAAAATACTGAGCATCCGAGTACTGTACCCCCATCAACATCTTATCCTCATTATGCTAAAACATTATTCCATGTGCAACACCTGCGGAATAAATTTACCATTCAGATTTGCTAGGGATGATCAAACAAGTCTGAAACACTGTCATTATTTCTACCTCCAACACGCCGGTGAAAATGACTAGCTTTCCTAGGTTTGTGGGAATTATCAATTCAACTGGAAGTAAACTTCATTTTATCGGTTTAATTTACTTCATTTTCGATAGAGAGAAAAAAAAAAAAGCAGAAGCAAAAGCACACCTGAACAAGTCCACATTCGCCGTTCCCTGATTGAGGTGCTCAAATGAGTTTTAAAACAAAGCAAGACACATTTAATGCGCCCCGGGGAACACAATACTTCACTAATGTGTCATTGTTTCGCTCCTTTTAACAGAACTCGAAGATCGCCGGGAGAGCTCAGCAAAACGAGGAGGGCAGGAGCGTCTGCCGCATTCATCCATCTGGAAGACGGCAACAAACAACATTTATCCGGCTCGGCACCGGCACACTAACCTCGCAACTCAAAAGCTAGATAAAAAGAAATGAGAGCTAATGAATTAAACCTCCCCAGATATACTTCTGTATTGGCGGTAATCAGGCGCTTCTGCGCCCACGAATACACATGCCCAGCATCAGCTGAAATCCTGTTGGTGGTCAATATTCTTGAAGCTCTGCCAGCGTGGGAATATTCCTGCTTCGTTCTTCTCTGCTTTAATGTTATCAGGTAACACACACTGGCATTAAATCCACAACATAATAAAAGCCCTTTCTGGAAGCCTTCAGAGCAGACAATGCGGCTCTCGCCGAAAGCCCTTTAAATGTTCCTGTTTAATGTCATTACGGAAGCACGAAGCACGCAGGCTTGTCGAAGCTCAGCTTGAAAAGGGAAACCCTACACAAGACCTCAAGGTACATTTGCTCAGACGAAAGACAAAACGAAAGGAAGAAAGCAAACAGAACAAACAAACGAGTCGGTTTATTACGTTGGGGAGATGAATGGCAAAGCAACAACTCTAGCCATCTCCACTGACAGCTTTTAAACCCAGAGATTTGTGCACATTAGTCACACATTTTAGGAAGAAGGTGCTTTATGAAGTGCATTGATTGGGATTACAGTTCTATCTTTTCCTGTCGTTCTTTCATTCTAAGACCTGTCGCTGATTTCAGGGTTGCCAAGCGCTTCCTCAAAATAAAAGAACCGGGGAGCTTTTGTCCTTCGTTTTCTAAAATGCAAACGCCTTTTGCATTAAGAGGTGTAATCTACGATTAATATATTTTTTAATGATTCTAATATAGACCAAGTTCTGCTGTTTATTAGCTTGTCATTTGCAAGCCTTGAAATGGGAAACGAACCCCACATGACCAGGATTACGCGCTGATGCGTCTGCACGACGAGGATTTAAATAAATTTTGTTAATTGTGAAGAAAAACAAAAAACGTATACCCGACAGAAGCGTTAATAAAGCAAATGTGCATTTCAAAATAGATGACGAAACCCACGAGGCTTTGGTGTTGTCTAAACGGACATTCAACTAATAACTAACTTTTCTTTCTAGTGTCTACGATCTCATTATTAACGAATCTGGGAAGAATTTCTTAGCAAACCAAAGTCCACAAAGCAGTGATGCAGCCTGAATTATTCATATTAGCGGTCAATCTGACAAAAATAACAGAAATTCAGCTCGCTTTAATCTCTTGAGCCTTATTTTGTAAGGACGGAGGCTGACTTTTGTGGATGTGGGAAATCAATAGTGCTGCCGTAGGGCAGGCTCTCATTTATGTAAGAAATGCCAAGAGGCTAATATTAGAATCATAAACAAAAGCTTTGTCTTTTATTCCCTATGAACCATTCAACATAGCAGCGGATTAAAGTGTGGATGAAATACTATATAGACAAGATTCCCTCAGGACTGGTTCCTCCTCTTCGGCATTCTCTCGGAGGGGAGAGAAAGAGAGCCCACTGCACCTTAGTGCTGAAAGAGAGGAGGAGGAGGACGACGACAAGGAGGAGGAATTAATTTCTGCCCTCTGGGAATAACACACACGGGATCTCAAGAGTTTGAATGAATCTACAAATCTAGCTCTGAAAAGATTAAATAAATAAGCAGGGGGAGGAAGGCGAAGCTGATCAATGTGCATTCGGCAGCGGCGGTCCCTTCTGTTCGCCTTCCTTGGAAATGGTCACAGAGGACATTAAGTGACGCATCCACCTTAAACACTGAAAAATAAGCTGGAAAAATTCAAGCTTTTTATTCAGTTCATCGCTGAGATTGCTTAGCATTCTGCTAAGTGGCAAAACCCCACACAAAGTTTATGGAAAAAATGCGGGGGCGACTCGTATTAAGTAATTTTTTAATATCGTTCAGCAGTCGTGACATGAAGTTTGTGATTATCTACAGACAGCCTGCTGGGTTTTGGCAAAACACTCCCGGACAATAAAACACAATTAACTGCTCGCTACCACAATACAGTAAATAAGCACCTCGGATCATAAACAATATACCTGGAAATAAAAGGCACGAGGAAGTTCAGCAAAATAGGTGATTGCGAACCCAAAGACTCCATTAATCCACTCTCATTCGCTGGCGTACAGAGGGAAGCCGGTGGGGTGTGGGACTGTGGGAAGGGATCAGAGAAAATGAGCGACTGTATTGACACACGAATTTCCGCACAAAGTCGTGTGCAACTGCTCAGTTCATGTGTCAACAGCGTTCATTCCACTTAGTCCCTGCACTCACAACGCTTATCTCGC